GTGGTTCGATATTGTTTTCAAACAATTTCATATGCACAATTTGAAGTATTTGCGTGATTGCTTCGTTTTCGTGAAGTTATATTATGAATCTCATGAAAGTTTTTATCATCACCAAGTTCGTCCCTCACTATTCATCTTGATCGACTGCATAAATCAAAGGTGTTTTACTGAATAATGCAAATGCTATCAGTTCTACGGTGGAATCGAAAGCATTCCTAACTTGCAAATGTTTTTGTTTCTAAGCTCCTAACTTGTTGATAACTTCTTTTTTTGCAAACACTCTTAACTTCAGAAGCAGCAAGCAATCAACTGCGAAAGCACTTTCAATCAGCATAATTCATGAAGTTGCATGTTCCAGTCGTTTCATTGAACTCGTTTCGATTTGATGTCGTCTTTTCGATCACTGAAAGCGCTAGAACAGTGAGGAACAGTGTGCAAATAGCAGCAGTTGCTTGTTGGGCATTGCAAGTGGGATGTGAATCGAACTTGGGACAGTATCGCGTTTATAATTCCTGCCATCTCGATTGGATCAACGAATCCCTTACTTCATCATCGGAACATTACGTTTGAAAAATTCTGACTTAATCCAATTGAGTGTTTTCCTCTCACATCACTTCTTCGTGTCATATACATTTGCAATCAAAATGAACTCTGCATTGTTATCCATGCAACACTCAGCAGTCAAGATGACTGCTGTTCGGCACTGGTCACTGAAATGTCAGCGAAGATGTAAGTAATGAACAGTGAAGACCATAATAAAAATGGTATCGGTAACTGAATGAGCGGAATCAAGAATGGTAGTGATGATATTAATCACAAGGATATCCATGTACTCACGAATATCTGCTAGCACTAGCCATGATGGAAACATTAGCATGTTACTTAATCAAAGCTGAAGTTTGATTCAGTTCGGTGCTTAATGTCTTCAAAGTACATCAGCGACATTCTCACGATAGATAGATAAACCATTATGGGAATTGATTAAAAGTGCAATTTATTTTTTTAAGCCAATGTAGAACAGGGAAACTAAGAAGCGAAAAAACTTCTCCAATGAAACTTGTTGACTATTCCATCTGAGAGAACAAATTTTTGTACTTATAAAATCTAAAAACTACAAACAATACGAGTGATTGATTCAGAACTGAGGTGAAAGGCAACCTCAAGTGAATGATATCCAATTCGAGGCCTCTTCTCGTTTCGAGCGGAAATTTGGTATAGACTAAAAGTTAGTGGCCTAGCTGGAATGTAGGAACGATGAAACCTTCTCACACATTCTCTATTCCACGGATCGCGTTTGATGTACTTCAGATTCGAATGAGGGATGTGCATTTAATACTTACCGAGTATTTATTTGCACAATTTTTTATCATTCTTCATATGTCACAGTGAACTTCACTTATTTCATTAGTTCAACAACGATGAATAGGCAACTGAATGAATTTGATGATATCCAAACGAACCCATCTCATCGCGACACAGAATCGCTTTCATTCGTTCACACTTCTCATCCGCATAGCACACCACCTACACCTGTCCTCGATGAGATGCTGAATCACTGAGTAAAAGATGAGCTACAAGCTAAGCATTGAGTCTGAATGTTTTGAAGGATTGAAATAGGATAAAGGCAAATCATCATTAGCATCGTTTAGCTTTAGTTTTATCGTTAAGCTCATCTTATCGCCGCCACCCTCATATCTATCAAATAGATCAGTTGCAATATTGTCGTAAAAAATTGTTTCATTAGGTGTTTTCTGATCGAAGCCTTTCCAAAATCTAGCTCTCCCTTGAGGATTCAGCACACGCTTGATTGAAGAGTGTCGTCTGTATGTCACTATTATCATTTCATTAAAGATTTTGTTTATAACTGCAAAAATACTAGTAAATCTTTTAATTATATGTGACTAAAGATCCTTGTGCTTTGAGCTAGCGAAAAACTGACAAGAATATAAATAAAGTGACTTCACGAAAACTCGGTGAAAAGTTTCAAAGTGTTCTGCTCTATGAGAAGATGATCAAACTCAACTCTGCTTCACTTTAAAACGATGGTGATGGTTTCAGTTAGCGTGTTAAATCAACCCAAAACTGGGGCAGTTCAGTTCGAGTTATTGACAGTAAACTTAATCAGACGCTGCATTTGAATTTAGAGTGAATAATTCTTATAAAAGACTAACAATCAATTAATCGTTCACCTGACACAGTAAATAAACACGATTAACAAACGCGGTTTCAGCATCTAATTTTTCAATTCATCTGATTCTCCAGCTAATTAAAAGGAGGGCTATTGATCAACATGCGATCACTTTGTGATGACAATTTAATGGAGCTTCACAACCTTTACCTTTACTTTACAACCTTTACCTTTACTTTAAAACCTTTACCTTTCAAACGTCCACTTTTTTTCGGGTATCTATGTTATTTGATTCCATATTCATGCATGCATGATTACTCTGAGCACGTCAATGAACACAAGTCAACTGAATTAGTGAAAATCTCTTCAAAATTTTTCCCACATTCATCATCTTCTAGGCCTGATCGTTTGGACACTCTTGCCTTGACCACATAAGAATATTCGAAAGACTAGACCCGAAACCATGCGATTCGTTTTTTTCCTCTACGAAATCGCCGTTTATTCGATGAGTTCAAAATGTTTCGCGACACTGAAAAGTTTCGCAAATCATTTTTATGGATGCATCTGATTTCACTTTTTGTCACATGATCCGATTGTCTGGATGTTATCGCTAAATTCTAAGAGAGTTACTAAATGATATGTGCATCAGCTCACAACACTCGACTATTCAGATGATTTGAAGTTATTAAAATCTGTGCTTTAGCATTGCTCCGTTGTCAATTATCGTGAGCGTATCTAACTTCAACAAGACCATAACAATATGCTCGCTTGAAAAAGCAAATTAGCGTTCATGATTCACACGTTCATAATGCATATTGCATTAAAGCATAATGCGAGCAAGCGGATATCTGACGATGAGTGTCTATTTATAACTGCCATCAAATCCAGCATCATCTTATTAATTGACGTCCCCTTGATTCATTCACCATTTCGCAATGTTCCTTGTTGCAATTTCAGATCAAGTTCTCACACGCAACACTGACATTTCTTCTATGAGGTAACTTCAAAAGTGCTTACTTATAGCAATTAGATGTATCATATTTACTCGCCACTATTCGCTCTAATCTTTTCGCTTAAGGTTCTCAAAATATGCTTTGCAAGCATAATTTATTTCCAATGTGAATCAATTATGGATCACGTAACTGCTAATTAGGTCGATGCTGAATTTTCGATTTTGCTCATTTCATCATGTACTTTTTCCAAATGAATCCTTTTCTCAGCATCGTTCTTCAAGCGTTTATTCATTGAAATCGTTTTCTTAACATGCTTTCTCATGAATTCTTCCATACAAAAACAATACTACTAAACTGCTGATCGAGTCAACAACCAACAAGCCATCTCAAAACAAAAACCTGAATCCACTCCAATTGTTCGTCGCCATTGTTTCAAGCGCTAACAACGGCACTCCCTTGAAATCAGTGTGCTCAGCAACCAAATCGTCGAGATTTTTGAGCAGTGTCCTTTGTGAACAATAAACTACTGGTCCAACCAGACGTACACACACCACTTAAAGTTCTTAAAAAATGGTTTTCAAATATAATTTACAACGTGATTCGCTCTAACAACTTCCTGTTTGTGGCAGTTAGTACTTCACTGAGCGAACGATCAAGTCAATTCGTATGTCGTCTGCTTGAATCAGAGCTAATTCAGGCTTTATTTCCTTCCCATTTCTCTCTTTGCTCGAGAATATTCTAAAGTTTTATGTTAGTTTCAGGTTGTTTTTGGTTTAAGGGAGTTTCACATCGTAACTGATCCACAAAAATCGATCAGTGATCGATTTTCTACTTGATTTATGAATTGCTAGCAGTAACACTGCTTCAGAAGTTTGCAGTTCAGTTCATAAAGGAACGACTGCCGTCTAACAATCAGCAAAACATTTCAAAAGTCAATATCAAGAAGCTTCTTCAGTAGCTGTGATTGACTTGAGATTAATTTGATCATACGGGATAATGCACACACACATAAAAGTGTTTTTTAGTCTGCGAATTAAGTGAAATATTTGTTTTCATGTGTTCTTAGCCGTTACAGAGGCAACAATTTGAGAATTTTCGAATGTAATATAAGAATATCGTATCGTTACAAGGTGTTTTGTGGTGGTGGTGATACTCTTCCGTTGCCGTCAATCTCCACTATCCTCAGTTGTGCATGCAGAAGGCTTTTGTTGTGTCAAATCAGCAGTATCCATCCGTTTCATTTAATCTCCCTTTAGATTCATTTCGTAAAACTTAATTAATGGAATTGTCGTTCAAGAGTGCGAACGGAAACGCGAGCATTGTAGCCAGCAACATTACAAACGTTTGATGACAGCCTGGCCAATCCAGGTAATCCAGGAACTGTCCTAATGAACGAAGCATATGTTCGTAAATACAAAAGCTAAATTGATGAATATCATGATTTGCACACTGCCCAATGTCGAATGTTCAAATTCTGTTTTCGATAAACTGTATTCGAGATGAGAGTCGTCTGTCTGTATGTTTGTACTTACTGAATCATCTGGATTGACCAGGCTACTGAACTTTTTTTTTGCATTGGTGGTGATTACAATGCGATTCCGTTGGGGTTGTTCTCTAGGTGCACGTCAATAAATCCGTTTCCGGATGCTTCGCACTCCTCGTCAATACATCCTTTGATTTTATTCTAAAGAAAGAATTGCACTTTGAAATGCTAATGGAATGAGATTAACTGTTCATTCGCTCAGAACTAGAAGATTTACTACTTGAATTGATAATGTGAACTTATTGACATCTCGATGTATTCATTTCCTGTTGCATTCGTTGTCAACACGATGAACTGAATGAATTGCTTGAATGAACGGAAAGTGATTTTTTCATGCGCTCTTTCAGATGTCATTACGAGCTTCTAACGAGTTGATATGCGTTGCTGGGCACACAATAAAACAAGAGCGATGTTAATCCCACTGGTTGTTTCGTTGTGCAGTTTGCTCACATTTATCAGTGGTATTTCAATAACGGTCATCGATATCGGTTATCCGCAACTGAATGTCGCTCTTCTCGGCAGTGGACTCTTTGGATTGTGCGTATCCGCAGTGATTTGGGCACTGCGACCTCAAGCATTGATGACTTGGCCAAAGTGTATGATGAGTAAAATGCGACGTAGGTCGTTTGGCTCAGTACGTTACGCGAAAGGACCACAAGTGGAAATGTTGAACCGCGATAACACAGAAGTGGTGATGAGGAGTATTCGTGGAATACCGTATTTGATTCAGGTGCTCCTTTAGAGTATTCATCTGAATTCCATTTCGTTATTTTGCAATGGGTCAAATTCATTCGAAATCCATTGAAGGCGTTTGATCTGTCGATCTATTCACGTTATTTCAATCAGATAAGGCTTTCTCGCTTGAAATTGCTTAGTCGATTTCAAGCGATTAATAAAATAAATCTCCAATGTGAACTGGCATTCCGAACAGATTGTCAGCTCTACTACTGAAAGGCTGTTGCGAAGACACTAGAAGTGCATTGCTTAAAGTTTGTCAACCCGTTCCTTGTTTGGCTTCCTCGATTGATTCCTCTTATTCCTAAATTTCCTTCTTACAAATATCACTTGTCTCTTAACACTCTTCAGTGTATTTTGAAACGGATCATAAGCAGATCAGTCACGTTTTGTAGACGTGCTTGAACGTTCAAAATCGACTTGCAGGCCATTCAATACAGTATGGAAGCGACCTATTACAAGGATATGATGGATCTGTCTGGTGAAGGTGTTGTGCGGACATCGGTCATTCATACAGCACCTGGATGCACGTCAGTGCTCGACTCGGATCACGAGAACGACGCTGACGAGGGGCAATCACCTGCACCTGTGCCACCGATCGGTCCTGATGAACAATGGACGCCTACCGGTTCATCGATGTGGAAAAACACCCAGTTGAGGTTATCGTTGAACAGGGCTAGTTCAACTCTAAGTGTGAGTTTTATTTTGCAATAATAGCATAAATCTTAAGCACTGCTACCTCGCTAATGTTCTGGCACTGTAACGGAAGCTTCTGTTTGAAACTCTTTCGCCAACTCAAATAACGCTTAGAGAACGGAAAAAATTTGAAGCATTGTTAAATGAAGCATTCCAACGATATTATTTCCCTGGGAAATTTGAGTTATTGCACGGAAATCATGATGCAGGTTTTTCCTTACGCTGAAGGGAACCTGAACAATCGACCGGATTCGTTTGACGTTGATTCAACGCTCGATTCGGAAACGAAGTCGAGGCGTAGCAGTGGCAGATCAGCTGACGTTAGTGACGAGCATGCTTCCAGGTAGCAACCAACTCTTTTCATTTCGCTTCCTCCAATTCAACGGTTCCTTAACACTGACGATGAGTTCTGACTATTTGTTTCTAAAGTTTTCTATGATATCAGATTGATACGATAATAGTTTTGATTGGATCAGTTCTGATGCTGTTGTGATAGGATATTATCTGAACGATACGCAATTGATTATGATACCTGATCATCTGAATGCAAGCTCACCTACCTCTAAAGATGTACTCGTTAAAGGTATACGAGTTGTGAACGTAGTCAATCTGTTAGGGTTGCTTCGAGCATTCCACGTTATTTAGATTGACGCTTAGCAAGTCACTTCCTCAGACTCCATCTGCTTTTATTTCCTGGCGCTGGAACGTCGTTGTAGCCCATCTGAGCAGTGCTACCGTCACCTATCTCAACAAATACCGTTTTAGGAAATGCAACCTGGTGAATCGACCACATGAAATCAGATGCATTGGCATGAGTGAGACGTTCATTCAAAAGTTCAATTCAAGCTTCAAAAGCTATCGTCAGGGTACCTCGAAACAGTGAACGAGAATCGTTTAAGGTTGACTGAACAGTGTCACATGATGAATATGATGAGGCTGTTCCATTTCAGGATCGTGCATGTTATAGTGGAATATGTTCCATTTCAAATTGTTCTGTATCGTCATAACTTAAAAGTTATTTGTTATTATATCAACGTTATAATATAAAATGTGTTATTTTGATGAACTCATAATATTGATGAATTTCGACACTTCTTAACATTGTGTATTGTCAGTGTTTCGCTTTCGGAGTGGTTTCGATGAGCACAACACGGAAATTTACAACTGGAAATATAAATTACAACTGAGGCAAGAATGTCGTAGTTGTAATTTTACAATCACTTCCTAGTGATAACTTGAAATCTGGAAACTCATCAACTGAATGTAAACTCATCATGAACAGTGCAAATGTAGACGTCGTCATTTTTGACGAACATACACACACACATATCAGTCAGATTACATCCAAGAAATGGGTGTGTATAATGTTGTGGAGTTGAAAACATTTGTTGAAAATATTTGTTAAAGAATTAATTATGTTTATGGATAATGTTTTGAAGCAATTCACTAATGTGACAGATTCGAGTCCGTGTGGCAACAACAATAAAAACACTTTCATTTTGAAGATTATGAATTGAATTCTTTTTTTTTTCGTGCATGTCATTTGCTACAGTGCCAAGCGATTTTTTCTTCTTTTCCACAATATTCAAATGATTTGAGTTTATGATCATTTTTTTGCTATTGTTTCTCCGCAATGATGAATATTTTACTTGAAGTTTTCGGTGTCCTTTGCATTTGCACGTTCCAATAAAATTTCAGTTCAGTGCGAGATACTGATCGAAATCGGTGATGTCCAGCTAACATTATTAGGAACAGTAAGGTAACATTTTAACATCCTAGTAAAAATATTCGGGGTGGAATTTCTTCAGTTTCTCAACTGATCATTTGCAATATCAAATAGTTCCGATACTCGGTATTCCGGCCGGATTCCGAAATTCTTTTGTCGGATCCGAATCTCGGAATTCCGACCGAAATTCGTCCGAATTTACAGACCGGACTTCAGTCGATTACCATCACTATTGTGCAGTGCATTTTTGAAATTCGAAACCATTTTTCTGTTGACAGTGAAGTTATTTGGCCCTATCTTGAATAATTAGTTGGCATTGCGATATCAATTTATGATTGATACGTTGTTAATTGTAAGTTAAGGTGATGAACCAATATAAATGAGTTGAATGTATTTATTGAACATCATTAAACTTAACGTTATATACATATACAACTTCAAAATACGCGTACACAGTGCTTCAACAATGAGGGACCGATATTGGATCATAAACTCGTTGTATTTCAGTGCAGCTGCATCATTAGTCCGGTATGTTTTGTCGTGGGAATAGAGAGGTTCTAATCCGGTAGGATCGTTTTCCGAAACATATGGAAATATGTGGAAAACGTACAAATAACAAACCTCATTAACGCATCAGTTGAACACTTGAGTTTTGAGTATTGAGTTTTCGATTCATTACGAATCATTTCCAAATTGCTCATATGCAAACATGCAATTTTCGCTATGACAGCAATAATACAAAGCTATAGGTATCATATAAACAAAACTTTTAAATTATTCCAGCTAATATATCACAAGTTTATATCATTAAGCCGTTTTTTTCTTCTGCAGCGTAGGTTGATGCAAAACCACCACGTTTGATTTGCTGCATCGTGTGAGGACCTAATCGAATTCCATCTCGTGCACCAAACTGAAAACAATTTTATTTTTTTGCGGTGTCTTCTTTGCTAGCAATCAAGCTCAATTCCTAATTCAGAGTAGCGCTGCATTCAGATCTAAGTATCTTATGGTCTACTAGCAGGCCATTTCATTAAACTTATATTCACAATATTCAGTAGATTCGTACACTCTCGATCAGTCAAGTAAAGTAACCTTCACTTTAATTTCATCGTAATACTATAAGTATTCATTAAGAATACTCATTCACTAAATTGCACGATCCAATAGTAAGTACGGTTCGAAATTTATCAAGAATTACGAGAGTTTATCAAACGCACTCAAAAATGAACTAAGTGAACCTTTTCGAAAACGGTCAAGTCGTCCATCTTCGTAATACAATAGAAGTTGATGATGAAGAATGAAATCAGAAATACAATGATTGCAAACAAGCACGCAACAACCAATGGTCCAGTATAATCGATGAACTCGAACTCTTGTTTTGGCATAATTCTTTTGAATAGAACGCGATGATGGGTCGTCGTGGTTGACTGAGAAGAATATGCGATCGCTTGTCAATTACAAAATCAACGAATCAATTTGCTTTTGTTGATGTGATAAACAAAAGTTTCGAACAGCAGATGTTATCGATCAGACGTTGTAGGAACAATGAAGCGCCAGAGAAGGGCGCATTAATTTGGATTAAACGTTTTTATCGAGTAACAGCGATAAAGGTAAATATAAAGCCACAGATCAGTTTCACTCGTCAGAAAACTTCACATTAGCATCAATGCTTCTTCGGCGGCGATGATAGATAAACGGATGGATGATCCGGACAATGAGTTCTGCAACAAAAAAAATTAAACTAATAATATCATCGCATCAATTCATCAAACTCTT